TAAAGTGTGGATGTCATTTTTGGAATAGATTGACTGCTTTATTAAGTTGGTGAAGAGAGGAGGAGGGGAGAGAGACAAATCTCAGTGACAGTACCAGGGACCCCGAACCTACCTGCAGGTATGCATACTAAACATTGATGTTTCCAGCCAGCGAAAGGAGATGTAATGTCTAAAAAATATGTTGGTTTGTATAATGCTGTGGTGGGGGGGAGTGTAATGAGAAGAGAGGTGAGAAGCAGACAACTGTAAGAGAAAGTATATTGTACGGAAAACAGGGAGAGGAACTAGGGTTCATTGAGCACCTACTCTGTCAGACACGCAGGGATGCTATCCCATTTAATTCTCACAAGAGGATTGTGAGCTGGATCTAGAGTCCTAAAGCAATGCCCACGGAGGGGTCAGTCTGGCTCACCAACCAAAAGGCTTGAATCTGGATTTCTGGATCTTGTTGAAAAATAAGAGACCATGCAACAACAGGCTGGCACTGAGGTGCAGCTGCTCCTAGACCCTACATCTGCTCTTTAGTGCTCCCGTGTCCCTCTCCTCTCCCCATGACCACGACTTCTGCCTCCCTCTGTTATGTGCTCTGCCCTGCTGCTGTGCACATCTGAGTTGCTGACTCCCAAGGTAGATATTATTCGCCCTTTTACTGATGAGTACAGTCACTGAAACTCAGGGCAGTTAAGTACGTTTTCTACGGTTGCCCAACTGAAAGTAGAGGAGCTTTGGAATCTGGATGCATTTATTTCTATGGAATGCAAATACTATTCAGAACGTATGCTCTTGGAGAGGATATATTGTAAGAAAGAGCCTTTTGGATTGCCTGAGCCCGCGGGTTCGGGACCAGCCCGGGCAACTTGGCGAGACCTCATCTCTACAATAAATCAGAAATGTGCCGGGCGTGGTAGCGCGCGCCTGTAGTTCCGGCTACTCGGAAGGCGGAGGCGGAGGGAGCGCCGGAGCCCAGCAGGTGGAGGCTGCGGTGGCCGGAGCGGCGACTGCACTCCAGCTTGGGCGGCAGAGTGAGACTCCAATTCAAAAAGAAAGAAAAAAGGAAAGGAAAGGGGGAAGGGCAGGGAATGGAAGGGATGGCGGGGGGAGGGAAGGGAAGGACAAGGGAGGGGAGGGGAGGGAGCCTTTTATTTAGGAATCGGGAGACCTGGATTCAAGTGTCTAGCCTTGGGCGCCTCACGATGCTGCTGTGGACCTCAGACAACTCATCAGGTTGTCTTGAGAAGCACAGGACATGTTTGGGAAGCCCTCGACATAGCAGCAAGCTCTACAAACCTAAAAGCTTGCCTGCGTTAGGCCAATAACAAGATAGGAGGCTGGCAAATTTGGGCTCCTGTGAAGGGAGGCCCTGGAAGGACTGATTTGAGCTACACCGCAGGCCTTGAGCTACCGAGTCAACACCTGAAAGGACTGGCTGAACCTGGTTGTCCCTGGCGGCGAAGCAGGGCAGCTACCACTGGAACGCACGTGAGGGATGTCAGAGGCGACTGTTCCCCGTAGGTACCCGCGTAACGGGTCCAGAGAGGACAGACTAGACCTCCAACCGCCCGGTGGCCGTCGGCCTCCGCCCGACCCCTTCCTGCTGGCCCGTCCTCCCGCCCCACGCC